TTTTTTTTTTTTTTTTTTTTTTTTTTTTTTTTTTTTTTTTTTTTTTTATCGGTCCTATCGGACAATTCTGGAAAATTAAGGTCTCCACCGGGTTATTTTTAACATCGTTAGTCCAATCAACACCATCGGGTGATAGGAAATAATTGGTACAGTCGGAAATGTTTATTTTAAAAAAAAAAAATTGTTTTTTTTAAAAAAAAAATGCATCGATATGTTATGAATCACTTTGTGTGGCCTTATTGGAACACTTTTTGGTAAAAAAACGACTATAAAATTCCCTTATAAATTAGGTTGGAACGTAATAATAATGCGTGTTTGAAACTTAAATATTTATTAATTGTTGACCTGCCAACAGTATTGTCATATTAATTTTATAAAAAATTTTGCATATATGAAAATGAAATAAATAATGTTTTACGATTTTGCCTAATTCAAAAAAAAAACGAACCGAAAAATAATTAAATAATCGAAAATAATACGAAATTGTAAAAGCAAAATATATGTTTAACGTGTTGATTTAAATGATATGTATACATTATATATAAAATACTTCGAATAAGTATTTTTTATTAAATAAAAAAAAAAATCCAAATAGACATTTAAAATTTAAACCGATTTCTGGTGTTTCATCAAGAATAGGTTAATTCCATTCTATTCCCGAATTAACGCAATTCGTAGGCGCTGCCTGATTTCTTGCTCTTTGTGGTATAGGAAATGCATCTCTTTGTCCCTTGACCAGGATTTCGTGTCGTTGGACAGGATCATCGAGGAGGAAATTGATATGAACGACATTTGGAGGTTGACCCCCCATCACTTGAACAGGTGGTTGATTCATGTTATTGTTCATATCGAAAAAAATTTTTTTTGCTATTTTTATTTTTATTTTTTTTTAAAAGAAAAGAAGGATGAAACACCTTATTTTTTGTTGTTGATGCGAGAAAAAGAGAAAGGGAAATTTCAGGCTTTTTATATTGATTTAATTTTCAATTTTATTACTACAGTATTGTAAAATGTAAATTGTGAATAATATTCAGTTATAAACTTTTTTTTTTCATATTTGTTAAAAACATAATAATAGATAAAAATTCTGTTGAACGTTATCAAGGAGCTAGAGGTACTATGCCTATTTAATGAATAGAGCCGAATGTGCATACGCATAACCGTTATTTCATTGATGCATATAGATACCACTATATTATATTTTATATAATTTAAGTCGCGTTTTATCCGTTTCTTTTGATCGACATAATATATAGTTATGTACATTTCCTAAAATATTCTAGCCAATTTTGGATATTTTTATTATTGTATTTTTTGACGTTGATCATTGTTTACTATTGTGTAATGCTTATGTATGTACATATTGTTCACATTTTTAGTAATTTGCATTTAAAGTAATTGTAAAATAGTTTTTTTTTTATTTATAGTAATAATTGTCATTTTTAGTAATTTTAATTTAATTAAATTAAGAATTACTAGATTTGCGGATTTACTTATTTATGCAGTGATACCAACTTAAAAAGGAAAACCGTTGGTTTATTGACTTATTATCACTGATAACACAACTGGTTAAAGTATCGAGTAATTTTTTTTTTTGTTAATACATAGAAGGTTTGATTTTTTGTATACGATTTTGGAAAAATTTCCACTCTTATGTTACAGTACACTAATACTACGCCCGATCTTATAATATAAATATGTGAATTTCCTTTTTTTGATTGTATCACTTGCAGAAATAAGTATATATCGATACGGTTGGGGCGTTTTCGAGTACTTCTCTCAATGAACACAATAAAATAATCTTTTCAATCTGATTAAACTGGTCAAACAATTTCTTTATAGAATTCATTAAAATGTTTGAGTGCGCCCTAGACGATCCCCTAAAAATGGGTAATAACAAAATTTATTTATGTACAGTGCTGTAATTATATATTATACGTTAAGTAGCCTCAATCATCTTATCTTTGTCTATGGCACCTATAGTACCCGCGATTTTTTAGAGATTTAAAATTTTGTAAATCTATTTGCTATATATGGGCATGCAATGTTTATATGATTTCATAGTTTGAATTGTACGTTTTTTTTTATTAGAGATCTACCGCAAAACTGAAAAAAAAAACTTGTCTGACACCTCTCTTATTACTATATCTAAAATAAATCCGAGAAACTTGTTCGATTTCTGAAAGTCGAACAATTTAACTGGATTCACGCATTCGAATTTTAGACATTTTTATTAACGTCAAACCAATAATTTGGTCTGTGATATACTTTACATATCGATGACGAATGTACAACATTACTGTAAATTGTTTCGCAGTGATAGACTTCCAGATTTTCTTTTGGCAGCACCCAAATGTAGGGCTTAAAAAAAAAAAATATTATATTTGTTTCAGCAATAGAATTGTTGTTCTCTTTAATTTATCTTTCGGAGTCTAAAATTCCACAGAAATAATTTCTCTTAGAGAACTTCACTTACTGTATATGCAGTATACATCATTGATATGTGCGTAAACATAATATTATACAATTTTAGAAACTTCTATGCATGAATTTGAAAGATAATATATAGAATAAATTCGATAACAAATTGTGAAAACTGAACAAATAAATGTATATAGTTCAATAATACTAATAAATAAGTATATATATCTTTTAATGGTTAATCCATTTTAAAACATTATTAATTTAGATTATTTTAATGTTCATTAAATGCTTAACATATGTGTATAATCACAATGGTCACCGTGTAATAAATAATGTTATAAAATTTTATCTTAATTTACAGATTAGATTTTCTTTTAATCAAAATAAAAATGTATCATTACGAAAGAAGCATGGAATTACATACAGTTTCATTTTTGTTTAGTTGTAATCCATTTTCCGAATGTAACATAATTACAAGGAAAAATAAAGCGATTGACAAAGAAATGTTATGAAAGTTGTTTTTTATGATCAAATGTTATATAAATCGCTAGCGTGTGAATTATTAATTCCCAAATACATGCTTACAGTTACACCCTAAAGCACGCTTAATTTCAGTAGGTGCAATATTAGGTGCTTGGAGTTGCAACTCCGATTAGGGATAACTTCTGATATGGCATATCCGTACATATTTATCTGCGTATGCATGTATGTACTGCACGCTGTGGAAAGTAAGAACGATTACAGAGCTAATATGCGTCTCAGGATACAAACAATAACTAAAAATTAATATACTATTTAAAACACTACACTAAATTCTAACATTAGAAGGCTTCGATCGAGATTGATCCAATTAATGAAGGTTACTACAATCAGAATTTCCAATTTCGTCACGAACACTAGAATTCAGAGTCGTGGATTTGTGCTGATTGGAGAGATCCCGGTGCTATAATTTTTTTAACATTTGAATTCCGAATTGCCTTTTATTAGGATAAATTTCACTTTTTTATATAAGTTTAATTTCCTTTTAATTCGAAACTTGATCGAAATATTAAATAAGAAACTGACTCATATGCAACTTTTATCACTAGAGTTTGATCCATTTCAAACAGTCAAATTGTATGTTACGATTTCCCGAAAGTCATTTTCCAAAAGAACTTGATCGGCCGGTATTATAGCTAACTTTGTCAGTATGATATCATGTTAGAAAAATGATTTTCAGGAGCTTGAGTTTCATTGATACGTAATACAGTCGTCCTCCTCTATAATCACTTAGTTTGTTTTACACAAATATGTGATTATAATTTTAATGTGCTTTATATGGAGGTATTTTTTAATGTTATTACTGTATTAATAAATTGTTTCAAAGTTTTGTGTGATTATATAGAAGTTGTGATCATGTAGGAGGTGACTATAGAGGAGGACAACTGTATAATGGTAAGGATTCAAGGCTCGAACCAATAAAATTGATAATAGGATAATTCATAATCTTCTACGTACGTACTGCAATATCTTTGTTTTTTTTTTTTTTTATTAGGGATTTGTTTAAAATAAACATGTGATGTTTCACTTATGTATAATGCTTATTGCCATATGGCTGATAATGCAGTATCCGCTTGTTAAGTAATGATCGCATTGTCTCATTGTGTGCCTGAAGTAGTGTTTTAAGCTTAAGCTGGTTAAGGTAGTTACAACTGAGGCGCTTTAGCCAAAAGTTCTGCAAACATATTAATTTGTATACCGTATATTTGTACGTACGTACGCAATTTTGAGATATAGTAAGACTTATAAATATGAAATAGTTTATGTTGTAATCTCTCATGATAATCCTCAACTTAATCGAAAAAATACAAATTATTATAGAAGACATGAAGACAGTGAAATCTTGAAATCATGATAAGAACGACCTTTTTTTTTGTTTTCGCCAATGTTATAGCATTTTAGTATGCAAAATATATCATAATAATACACGGAAGGATATATATAAATCAGATTGGTTCTTCTCAGTTGTACAGTACAGATGATCATTTTCAATTTTTAATTCTAGTTTTGTTTGGTACACATACCAAATTAATTTTTAGAATCTGTTGTCATGTATATGTAATGAATCGTTGTTGTTTTTTGTTTTTTTTTTAACTGTTAATTAATTCTCTAGAAAATTTTCATTGATTTCAAATGATTTCCGAATTTGAATAAAGCTAATGAGTTGTATGAATAAGTAGAGATTCTCAATTATTCAAACACAGAAAAACTGCACGGAAAATCCCAAAGGAAAAAAAAAACAAAGAACTATGAAGGTATCATTAACCTGAAACACTTATTATTATGATTGAAACGTTTCTTATTCTATTTATAACTGAATGTTTTTAACTTCTAATTCGTTCATAATTGGATTTGATTGTATGAATAGAGTATATTCTTTTATTCTTTTATTCTTTTTTTTAAATTTTTATTTTATCTTTTAACCGCCTTTATTGCGATCGATTATTCGATGCTATTTACACACAGACTTTCATAATTTTATTATAAGTCACATAATTTCAAAACCAAGTTACATCATAAAGCATGGTTACGAAATATAAACAATTTATAATATTGTAAAAATTTATTCAAATTATATTGGATAATTATATATATAATTATATATTATATATATTTATTTAGCCAATCACTAAATTTTTAACTATGCTATAACTAGATCAATTAATGAAAAAAATACTGTAATTTGACGTAATTGATAAACCTAAACATCTTAAATATAAAAACTTCATAAAAATATTTTAATTACGTAATTTCTTATGCATGGCCATGAATTGCGTTTGAGGTTATTGGAAAATTAGGTGTAATCTGATCTTAAAAACTACTCAATAAACGTGGGTTCCACAAGGATCGAATAGCTTATCTTCAATAAGTCACTAGCCTTATTATGTCTAATTGCCTTTGATAGAAATGGCAATGATTTAGATTAGTCTAGAACAGTATCAGATTACTTATCATTTAAATATGTGTGTGGAACAGTATACAGGGCTTAATTGTCAATTTCAATTGTACTGTATATCAATGCTCTCTTTGTCAGGAATTTTTCGGAATGAATTTAGATCTCCTGGAATTAGTAATTTGTTGATTGGTACTTGAAAAGCCGAGTGCATAGTAAACATAATATCATTGATTTATAAGAACAGCTTCTGTATTGTACTTATAATTTAAGCTATAAATTTCATATTTTAAATATTTGCAGAGAATGAATGAATGCCGTCAAAGAAAAATCTGTTATCGGACTTTCAATTATATTTTGTGTAAAGTTAACCGTCTATGGAAAATCTATCATGATGGATTTCCATAGACGGCTAACTGTACACAAAATATAATTGAAAGTCCGATAACAGGTTTTCCTTTGACGGCACTCATATAAATAGAAGGGCTTCCATCACATTTTCTCACTTAAAAATTTTTTTAAGTAACGAATAAATAAAAAGAATTACAATTATGAATAACCTCTCTAACCAAACGGTTAGTAATCAACCTTTAAGACTCCAAAATACGGCAATTCATGTAAATTCTTCTGTCAGTACTCCTAATCAGGAATATGCGAATTTTTTAATAGAAGGCACAAGTCTGTTTATCGGAGCGCAAAATGAAAGTGATCAGACAGTTCCAACCAAACAAGATGAATTCTCGGTCGTTCTTTTTTTAGGATCTCCTTTTAAATAAGTGAAATGTAGGATTTTTACAGGGCTTTATTCTTAAAAATGTTTTTTTTTTAAAAAAAAAAAAATTTAAATATTGTATATCAATTACGAAATTTTTAATAGCTTATTGGCAATTTATCATATGGAAACGAAACTAATTGAATTAAAATTTTATATTTCTTATTTTTCAAAATCTTACTATATTCTTCTTTTTCTAGTGTCTTTGTTACGCGTCATTTTTCCACTTGTATCGATTATCAATTGACACATCATTTTCAATTTTCACCGATTGAAAATGACTCAGGCAATTCTTTAATGCACTGAACTATAATGTAATATACTATTGATAATAATAATTATTATATATAATACATATTTATTAATGACAATAATAAATATAATAATTTAAGTAGTTATCCAAGTGGTTTTCTTTTTATTATACTGAACCTTTTTTTTTTATCGCTGCGTATAGTATTTTTTTCTTCAACATTTATAGGTTTGTAAGAATATAGTTCATGACTCGTAAGACTTTCGAGGTCTTCACAACAAATTGAAGGTTTGATGAATAGAAGTCACATAGCGGATAGGGTCTGTAAATGCCCATGCCCGGCACATTGGCACAAGGCCGGGCACTAGTGCCTTATGCCCATGCCTGTGTCTATAGGCACAAAAGTGCCAGGCACTAATGGTATAGGCACAAAGTGCCAGGCACAATTAAATATATTTTGTTGGTGTCACGGGGTAATAGGCAAACTGGTTCACCGGAGGTTTAGACATTCCTTCCGATAATAACCACTATAAAATAAGGTGAGCTATGTTTAAGCCACATTGGACCTTTAAATTATAAAAAGGATGTAACTTAGTTAAGGTTGGCTACGACACTTATGTGCGAGGAAGGAGCACATAAGCCCACTAACTCGAGTTGCCTTATATTATAAAGTTCATATTTTATACCAGGTTGGTGAAAAGTAACTGAACAGTGACAGTGGCCTTTTTTTAATCACTATGATTATCATTTTAACATTAAAAATTATTGCAATTTTATTAACGTTAGTACGATTCACCCGTAACATTGGGCACAGGCGACCCCTAATAGCGTGTATTTAAATTTACTTTGTAAAAACCCAGACCTTCAGTATAAATTAACCTTCAAATAGGAGATGGTTAATGTTTGTCTTCTTAATTATTGTCACGGCTGAAGCTGGAAATTTTAATTATTTTAATATGAAATTTTCAAAAATTTTTGGGGCCTTTTGTTAGGGGGTTTTTTTAGGGTT